GAGAGAAAAAAAAAAAAAGGTTTCTCCTGTTTTAACGTCAATATGTTCTCAGTGTTAGATACATCACATCCGTACACACAACACACATTGCACACAGTGTCCCTATCAGTGTATTGCGGAATCACTATCCGCCCTGTGGCCCGGACGGCCAACGCGAGCAGTCCATAACACGAATTAAGAGTGTTCATGCGCGCAGCGCTCACTGTTTTGTTGAAGATGGCGCGTACTCAAGCCTAGCGAGCGAGCCCCGTCTCCTGGCAGGTCGACGGTCGTATGGCTTGCGTGCCTGTTTACGATTCATGAAGTGTTTTGTTTTTAGCTGTTCATTGTTTTATCTTTACGCCAAGTAGGGTGGAACAGGGGTTGGTTCATTATTCTGCGCTGTGTGTGGCAAGTTTCAGTGCAGTTTAAAAGGCACATTTAGAGTTCGTGTTTTAAAGGGGGGATAACGGGGCTGTAAGAGTTGGATTTTACGGTATTCTATGAGTGATATATAAAGATATAATCTTGTATGTGTGTGTGTTGAGGTAGAATAATACATTGATGTGTTGATCCCTCACGAGGAACAATTGTTTGCGTGATGAACGCCCTGATCCTTACCTCCGCGTGCAGCGGGCTGCCGTCTGACAAGTCAAAACCCGGGGTTAGAGGTACAACGTCATTGCGTTCACTGGTTACGGAAGTGATACTGGTTAGCGGCACATGCTGATTCTCTTCTCCCTTTTTTTTTTTTTTTTAAAAACGCGTTGAGGCTAGTAGACGAGCTAATGCTACCACCAGGCCTTCACGCTGTCTTAGATAACGTTACTACCGGTGACCGTGTGCCTGAGTGAAACCAAACCACCCAGCCCCGGGTCGGTGAGTGTGTGATTGTGGCACATGAAACGTATCTTCGCCTCCACAAGTCGAGAGAGAGAGAGAGAGACTACAAAACGAGTGATTAAACACAACGCTAGCTGAGGAGCTTTAGCCTCACGTCGCTTTCAACGCAGCGCTCGTCGCAGTGTTAATGTAACGTTTGTGTGGTTTATCTGAAGTCTTGTGATTGTGATTCACAGTCTGCGCATTGTAAGATTCATTCAGCCGACATGTGGTTTGTTATTATCCGTAACTTTATAGCATTTAAATGAGTCGTTCAGCCGGTCAGACCCGGTTTGTCTGCAGCAAATCCCGCCTGTTAGTTGACCTGCTGGCAACTTATCAACAGCAAAAGTTGTGATTGATCATTTCGATTGATTATATCTGTGTTTCTCTCCCTCCAGGTGATCAGTAGAGGTGATCAATAGAGGTGATCATGGGGATCAAGGTTCAGCGCACTCGGTGTTTCCTTGACATTGGAATAAGTAATGTGCTCGGTAAGAGAGACAGAGCTCCACTTTCTGACTACTTACTCATTCATTCACTCAGCTGTCAGTTTATTAGGTGATTTATTGTAAAAAGTAATGTATTCAGTATAAAAGTCGCTTAATAAATGTCCTTTTGGAGGATGTTTTTTGTTTTATAGTACTAACATTAATCAGATAATCTGGATCATTGATAGGGCTGCACGATTAATCCAAATATTAACAAATATAAAATATACACATTTTGCTGACAGGACAGCATTATATTGAAATACTGCAGTTCATTCAGAGATGTATCGTTCTCCAGATTTAAGATGATGTTTGTTTGGTACAGAGCTTAAAAAAAAAATCCAGTTTTAATAGTTTTTTTTAGTAATAATTTGAATTTTGGTACATAAACGATCATGACCACGAATCGTGGGTTGTATCACAGTCGCAGTATGTCAAAATAATTGCAGTCTGATGTGTTACCATATTGTGCAGCCCTAATACTAAACTTAAAGTGACCATAACGTCCATTCAGGACCTCTCCTAAAGGGTTCCAGTAGGATATCTTGCAAGGCTGTTGTGTTAAACAGCATTACGTTTAGTTCGATGCACCTTACGAACTGACAGCTGAAGGTAATTTCTCATGACGCTAAACCAAACTGAAGGAAGTAACGGCGCTGTTTCCTCACAGTCGGCAGGGTTGTGGTGGAATTGTTTTCAGACATCTGTCCCAAAACCTGTGAAAACTTCAGATGCCTCTGCACAGGTGACTCATGCGTTTTCTCCTCAAGAATATGCCAGAAACTGTTTCCCATCCTGGCAGTGTGATATTGATGAGTACTGTGTTTTCATTCAGGTGAAAAGGGCATTGGCAAAGGAACCCAGAAACCGCTGCACTACAAAGGATGTCTGTTCCATCGAATTGTAAAAGACTTCATGATTCAAGGAGGAGACTTCAGTGAAGGTGAGTTAATGGTTAAAAAGTACATAGCATAGTCAACAAAGTATAACATTAACTAGATCCAATGTATTTTAATAACCAGCCAGTCTTTAAACACCATAAATCTCCTTCCTGTAGCAGCCCGCTTGCTTATGTTTTTATTTGCTCTCTGGTGTTGTAGGCAACGGAAGAGGAGGCGAATCCATCTATGGAGGCTTTTTTGAAGGTAAAGAGGCCGCTGTCAGAGCTGTCAGTAGTTATCCAAACCGACGTTGGCTTCAAGATGGCAGTACAATCTTATCCTTTTCCCCCAGATGAAAGCTTTGCTGTTAAACACAACAAGGAGTACCTGCTGTCTATGGCCAATAGGGGCAAAGATACAAATGGATCACAGTTTTTTATGTAAGCAGAATATGTCTATTTCCACATATTAGACATTTTATGCTTTATTCGATTATTCTGTAACTACAAATAATTCTATGCCTTTTTTCTTGAATGGCCTCTTGCGACACTTCAGAACAACAAAACCCTCGCCACATCTGGATGGGTAAGTTCCTCTCGACGGCATCTCAAATCCTGATTCATTGCCTAGTGCACAGTGTACACGGTGTTTGTTTAGTTTGACCAACATAGCTACTGTATTTTCTCAGTGTCCATGTGGTATTTGGTCATGTGATCTCTGGCCAAGAGGTTGTCCAAACCATGGAGAACCAGAAAACAGATCCTAATAGCAGACCGTATGCCGAGGTGAAAGTTTTGAACTGTGGAGAGCTCGTCCCTAAATCTAAAGGTTTGTTTGTTTGTTTGTTTTGAAGCATTTTCAGTACTTCCAAAATAAGTTTCACACTTACAACTGTCATTTTCGTAGATTGACATTTTCTAATAGACTATTTCTAAAATATTTGCAGCAAAGAAAGATGCAAAAAAGAAAGAGCGAGCCTCTTCCAGTTCCAGCAGTAGCTCCAGCGACTCTGAGAGCTCATCACAATCCTCCTCTGATTCTGAAGAGTCCGAGAAAGAATCTAAGAAAAAGAAAAAGAAGGCAAAAAAGCTCAAAAAGAAACAGAAGAAGGACAAGAAAAGGTACAGAATTTATTTTCATATTTTTACTGTCTACAGTGTAAACGGTGAATAGTGTCTTCATCCTGAGCTGTAATGTCTTTGTAGTTCAGAGGCTGAAAGTGCTGAAGAGAAGGAACAAGAAGAGTTGGTTACATCTACTGTACGTCCGGAAGAAATTCCACCTATCCCAGAGAATCGATTCCTCATGAGGAGGAGCCCCCAGGCGGTCCAGAAGTCAAAAGAGGAGCCTGAAAAGGATCAACGGAATAAAGAGGAAAGGCCGAGAGAAAGGTTAGTCTGCTCGACAAACAGCCGTTACGACAAACATCCAAACGTAATAACATTGTCAGTTAATTTTCCTGCCTCTTCTTTCTGTCCTTAGTACTGTCACAACATATAATTCTCAGTCAGCCTATCACAGAAGGCTGGTGATGACACGATCTGGGAGGAAGATAAAAGGCAGGGGTCCAAGGGTAGGTGCACTGCAACTGCAATTGTGTCCACTTTTTCATATTCTGACTCATGCGAGAGGGATGTGTTGCTTTTATAATGCAGTGAAACATCATTGCAGATTTGTAAGACTTCTATCTTGACCAGCGTTGGTTCCAGTCAGTGATTGGTTTGTCATTTCTCCCATCCAGCGGTATCGGACTCCGTCACGCTCCCGTTCGAGGTCCAGAGACCGCTTTCGACGCAGTGAAACCCCTCCACACTGGCGTCAGGAGATGCACCGTCAGAGGATGAGGGCGGTAACTGGAGAGCGCTGGATTAAGGGTGACAGGTAAGAGAACCTCACTTTGACTTATTAAAGAGAAAGTAAACGCAGTGTTCCCAGTCAGCCTGTCAGTTGTCATGTTCTGTAGGTGACGTTTACACCTTTACACTTTTTTTTTTTTTTTTACAGAGGTGACATGAATGAGGCCAAGGAAGAGGCTGCAAAAACTCCAAGAAGAGAGAGACGGACCTCCAACGCAAAGCATGAACACGCGTCTGAGGGTAAAAAAGACAAGAAAACTCGGTCACATAGATCCAAAAGCAAAGAAGAGGACACCGTTGAGAAGGATGAGAAGCAAAGCAAACACAAGGCAAAGAAAAGGGATAAATCTCAAAGCCGCAGTAAGAGCAGGGAAAAGAGTAGGAGGTCAAAAAGCAGAGAGAAGGCTCAGAAGCACAAAAGTGACGACAGAAAAGGTCGCTCAAGGAGCAAAGACCGAAGCGCTAGTAAGAAAGAAAAGGAGTCAGAATCTAGTAACAGTAAAGATAGAAATAAAGGCCACGAGTCTGATAAAAAGCATAAAGAGGACACCAAAGGAAGAAATGGTGAGAGAACTAGGACGAAGTCACGAAGCAAGGAAAGAACGACAACAAAAGATGGGTACAGATCTAGTAGCAGGAACAGGGATAGGAGTAGACCTGAAGGGTCGAAAGACAAAGAAGAAAAACGAGACAAAGACAGAGAGCGGGGCAGAGAACGGAGCAGGAGTCAGGAAAGACGACACAACAGTGACAGGGAGAATAAGAAGCGAGGAACGTCCAGGGATAAGGAACATAGAACAAGAAGTCCAGACAGAAACAAGCCTAGAGACTCGCACAGAAGCAGGCGCTCCAGAAGCAAGAGTAACAAGAGAGACCATAGCAAAGACCGGTCATCTCATAGAAAGGACAAAGACAGAGAAGCTGCCAACCACAGGAGGAGACGTAGCAGCAGCTCCGAGAGTGATAGAGACGAGAAAAGGAAGAGCCAAAAGAGCCCAGATTCCAAACGGAGCAGAGCAAAAAGTACCTCCAAATCCAAAGACCGAAGAAGTCCGGCTAAACCGAGACCAGATAGTACGAAGGGCAAAGACAGAAACGACAGCAAGAGGAATAAATCGAGCTCTAGCTCAAGCTCCGACAGCGACTGAGCCCGTGATGATATCGTAAAGAAATAGATTTGGGGAGGGGGGGGAAGAGTTCCTATTTTATACCGCCTACACATGTAGTATGCAACACCAGCTTTCCATCTAGAGTGGGACTTGTTCACATTCCTCATTCAGTGCAAAAAAAAAAAAAAAAACACTCCCAGGTTCAGCCAAAACTAACATGATCCAAAAGTCTGTCAAAGCGAATTCCCAAAGCTGTTAAGAACTGACTGATTGCATAAGAAGCCATGCTTGAAGATAGAAGCCGTTGTAAAGGCAGACTGCGGCGTCCTTTTGAGCTTTTGGCACTGAATAGGTGTAGATTCGTCCCCCGTTAAGTGCATTACACTGTCGATGGGTAGCTGAAGCTGCATGGCCAGTTTAGAGAAAATGGATTTGTGACTGCAAAAAGCAACTTAGCAGCGAGTATAAACGTACCAGGTTTTCTTTATAATTGTACTTTACCAGAGGAAGTCCGTTTTTCTTTTTTTAAATTGTGGATTCTTTGGTAAATTATATTTTGGGTTTACAATAGCTACAATTTCAAACTGTTTATAACAAGCAGATTCAAGGTTTCACTGTAACAGAGATCTTTTAAATGTCTTTGTTGCCCCCTTTAATGTTATTTAACAGTCGCTGAAGGGGATAAGGACTGTCTGATGTTTACCTGTCCATTTTATTTTTTTACTGCATCAATCAATTTGAAAGCACTCAATTTCTTGCATGCTTATCCCTGTCATTGTTAGATGAAATATGTACATTTGTACATCCACCACCTTTTACTGTAATCTTANNTGTTTTTGTTTTTTTATGAAAAAAAAGTTAATGTCTTACTGTAAGTACAATATAAAATCAATTTGTATAAATTGTGATTTGTGCAAGTTGGTTTTAAGAAGTCGACTGCAGTGAAGAATGAATTAAAAAGGCTCAACTTTGATTTTAATAAATTGTTTAATATTCTGTAAATGCTGTCACAAAACACAATCTATCTATTGGAGGCCCAAACATTATTAGCATCCAAAGTTACAGTAATCAACAGTGATAACGAAACTGTTAACGTGTTGTTTTCCAGTGTCGGGTTCAATCACCTGCCGTGGTGACTAATGGCTCGGTTCAGTGTCAACTACGGTCCACATTTTTAGCCCAGACGAGTCTCGGGGGAGTTGATAAACAACATTCACAGAACAATTTGTTGTGTGAGTAATTACAGAGTTGCCGCTCTGTAATGCTCTCACTGTGGGGGTTTTGGGGGATGTTGACCAGAAGTTACTTTCTCTACAGAATATATGAAACTTTACAGAAGTAGAACATCCCTGCAAACAATTGTGTCCAAAACCACTCCCTGTTTACTATATAGTGCACTCTAAGAGTGTGAAAATCACACTTTCTATCATACATATATACTATACTACGCTACATTTACACAATGGGATTAAACAAAAAATAGTAACCACGACTTGGCATGGAGATGACAGGTCGCTGGCTGCACCCGAGTGTTATACAAGAAGACACCCCACAGACACTTTTATCCCACAAAGCAATGTGTTGTATTTTCTGAACATAAAAGATGTGCAGCACTACACCTGGAAGTGATGACTAAATAATTCTTAGTGTCCAAAATCCCATTTTACTATCCACTATAGGGCAAACTATTGAGTGTCTATTTTATACAGAGTGGTGAGTGAGGGAGTGATTTCAGACATTTTAAGGATGTTATGAAACATTCTGCGTGTTCAGAGATGGTCAATTTTTGGGGAACAGCTAAATTTGCCAGCTGGGAGTGACCTGTCACCTTATCACCACGTAAATCCAAGTCGTCTCTTTGCGTCTTCAATATCTTCAGCCTCATTAAGCTTTTTAATGTTCTGGGTGGTGCCAGAGACATATTTGGGCATCTGAGCGCCAGTGCGGTCCTGAACAAGGTAGCTAGCCCTGACTCCATTAAACACGGGACCGAACCCTCCACCGATACCTTCCCTCGCTGCTTTACGAAGTGGAAACACATTTCGCTGAGCCTCCGCTGCAGCTTTTATGACGTGCTGTGAATACTGCTGGAATTCGTTTTCCTCCTCGGCAATGAGTTCTGAGTTTTTCTCTTCAAACTCGTGTTCGTCTCTCCGCAGCTGCTGGTGCCTGGTGCTTTTCTCAGCCTGAAAGATAAACGACAAGCAAGTTGTTTTTCAGGGCCATGGCTAATGTTAATGTTTTGCAATGATGTGCAGTGGAGGTAGTTTTACCATTTTTGTGGCATTGAAGTCTTGTAGTTTCCGTTCATCTTCTTTCATCTTCCGAGTCTTCAGTTGTTGTTTCTCAGAAAATATTCTGTCAGCCTCTTTCTTGGCCAGAAGTGTCTCCTGGGCGTTCTGCTTTGCCATTTTGTCCCTCTGCTCCTTTTCTTGTCTCTGATGAAACATAGTTTGTGTTACAGGTGTGATAAAAGTTTAAACTACAGCCGGATCAACTTAACATTATTTGAACCCACAGGTTACAACCCTAAATAAAAGACCAATAAGACCAGTACAACTACTTACACGATTACTTAATACCATTACAGGTTTACATGTTCTCTACTTTTCTCATAGTAGTGTTGTGATTGAGTACATGAGCACAGTATTAGGCCCGATACTGCTATTGGTGCACCCCTGCGTATGTAGTAAAAGTATTTTGCAGACCATCAAACTCGCGTTACCATGAATTCTCTGTGCGCATTGATCGTCTTGAGCATCGCAGCCCTCTTCTTCCCCTCCTGCCACCGCTGCTGTGCCTCTTTGGCTTCCTGCTCGGCGGCAGCCTTTGCGATCCTCTGCTCCTCGCTGTGGGTGTTCTCCTGCTGTGTGACTGTCAGTTTGTTCATGATCCTCTCTCTGCACACCTGGGCCTCTCTGAAGAATCAAACAAGTATGACCGTGACACCCGGTGGAGTCACTGTTCCTGACACTGGGTGTTTTTTTCTTCTTTTGCTGGGTCTTACCTGAGCAGTTCTTTCTCTCTGTCTTTCCGTAACTTCATCATTTTTTGCTTTGCGGAGAGAAAAAGTTTCCTTTGCTCCTCTTCGGCCTCCTGTTTCTGTGCATCCGCTGCTCTTATGAGGTCCCTATTGGTGATATGCTCCTGTAAATACAGAGTAAACAGTAGTAAATGTGTGTTATAAAATAAGCATACAAATGCTAGATGACCCTGTGCTGCTAAGATCCTACCAGGTGAGCTTGCATTAGGTTTCTCTTCTCCTTAGCTTGTCTCTCTTCCTCCATTCTCTGCTCCCACTGATAGAGTTCTTTGAGATGTTGGGTTTCCTCTCCGTCCTTCTTGTTCTCTATCACCTGTCGCTCTCTCACCGTCTCATGTTCCTTTATCCTAAAGGAAAGGAATCATGATCTTCAAGTAGTTTTACCATACAATAGAGACATATACAAGTAAAGACATAGAGAGCGCTGTGATATCTTTAATCCTGTCCAGCATGCTCAAAGGCTGGTTCTCGGGGCCGGATGTGACACTTACTGGTTTTTCAGGTCCTCCACAACCGCGCGTCTTTGGAGCTTATTCTGAAGCGCTTTCTCCTGCTCCTGTTTCAGGGCCTCGTCCTCTCTGGTCTTCGCCATGTCCAAGAAATCTTTGTCCACATCTTTCGAGGCACTCTTGATCCGTTGCTTCAGCTCAATCTGAGCCTCCCTCTCCTTCAGCACCTCTGTCAGCAAGAGCGCACGCTGTGGAAGTAGTCACAATCACTCATAATCCCAAAACTCCAACGTATGGTTAAAACGTGTAGAAGTGATAATAATTCTGAAGCGATACAAACATGTAATCCTTTGACTCGGTCAGTCTGATAATACAGCTGAGTCTTGGCTTTCTCAATGGCCTCTTTACGCTTCTGCTCCTGATATTCGGCCTCTTCTTTATCAGTTGATTTCCTTTTCTCCTCCTCAATTTCCTCTCGAATCTTCTTTGCCTCCAGCTTTTTTTGCCTTTGACCCTTTGATAAACGTAAACATACAGAGTGTTATCTGTTGCTTTAATGCAGTCTATTGCCTTACAAGCACTTTTAAATGTAATAAAGCAAATGTTAAAGAAACAGGCAACTTACAGCGATGGTGTTGGACCACAGTTTCACAACCTCTTCTGATTTCAAGTGCAGGGCCTCTCTCTGTTTCGCTGCCTCGCTCATAGTTTGCTTGTCTTTATTAACCCGGTTCAGTTCATCTTGGATCCTCAGCCATTCAGCCTTGGTTAGGACGGTGACCTGTCGGAGGTCCGGCGGCTGCATCATCCTGCTGGGTTCCTCAGCTGAAGACACTATTTAAATAAAAAAGGTGTATATACCCTAAGAGGGCGTCCTGTAAGTCGAATGCTACGTCTTGAACTTTATTTAAAATAGTCAAATACAATAATAATTACACAATGATTTGGATGCAGATGTGATAAGTGGTATTATTTAAGGTGATGGATATAGTGAGTTGTCTTTTGACATAAATTAGCTTAGAGAGGAAATATGGTCAGGTGATAATCATTGATAATCAGATTTTACTACATGGCACTGCCACCAAAATTATGAGTTGTATTTTTTTTTAACAGTTTATTGTTTGTGTAAATGTGTGTATACTGTGTGTAAAACTGCCCAGAAATATTTTGAATTGGATTATTTTAAACTAAATGCATGTAAATGTGTCTGTTTATAGGCAAAAACTAGTAGATAGAATAAATGCAGCAATTCAAACAGCAATTACAGAAACTATGGATGAACTTTTAAGCTTAATGTTTAATAAAGTGAGGTAAAACAATCCTGGAAACTGTAGTTTAATGGGGTGAGGTTGCACTAAAATCCTAGAGAAGGCCAATGACAAAATACTCTGTACAGTCACACCCCGATTATTAAAAAATACCATTGCACAGGAAGTTATTTTCTTTTGAAAGTGTCTGAGTTTGCTCATGAGCATGTCATTGAATCAAACAGCCACATTGTTCTGAATAATGCTTCATGTTACTGCATTTCACAGCTGCTCTTACAATCAAAGACTTATTGACTGCACACACATATATATATATAACTTATATATATACATATTGTTTATAAGCCCTAACAGCTTCTCTTACCTCTCTTACTGGAGCCTCTCCGTCGGCCGTACTCAACCACGGATGTCATTCGATAGATATATTGTGTTAATGAAGAAACAAACGCTACCAAGCATTAAAACGTCCCCCTGTTAGCTCGGGTTAAATCTCTCCAGGTTTACACACACACATCCGAGTCAGGGTCCGCATTTGTTGCCTTGTATCCGGGCAACGCTTGAACCAATCAGAAGCCGTTCCGCTGGTCGACGACAGGTGGCGCTGTTTGTTAAGCCTCATTTATAAAGTCTGCTTTTATATGAAATGTGAACTCTAAACTCAAAAATGTGGGCATCCTTGCTCTTTTTCTTCGGGCAATGCAACATTTCCTCCAGAAAAATACTGATTTAAAACTTTTTTTTACAAATATTTCTTTAGTTTGCCATGAAATAAAAAAACTAAATTCCTACAAAAAGATTTAGTAAATTAGGTGATGCTTTTAATTTGTAATTAAACTCACCTGTGTTCAGCTGCAGGTGTCTGTAATTCAAAGCAGGAACTAAAGGATCCCACTGTTGAGAGAGAGAGGCCTTTAAAAGAGAGACTAAGTCAGACATTTTTCTTGGTAAAGTAGATGACATCCTCTCTGTGTTTGTTTACGGAAAAAACTGGATCCCTGGCAGTCAAACGTGGATGTTTTATGGTTGCTTCGCTGCTTTTCCATTGAATCTGGAACTCAGGAGGCATTTTTGAAGCCTAACATTGAACCCACAGTCAGATTAAAGATAAAACAACCGATAAATACACTGAATATGTAACTGGAATCTCTTTTAACTGTGTCTCAACTTACATTTCTAGTGTTATTATAGTTGATTCGTGTCAAAATTACCTTTAATTAGTTACGAATTGTGCTTCATGTTGCTGTATATTCCTAAAATAAGTTAGAGCTGCACTGTATTACAGCTGAGTGAGAGGAACATGAAGTTAAACGGTCCTCTAACTGGATAACATAGATTCATAAGACCAAAACATGCTTTCTCTGCGTGTGAACTAAGTTACATGACAAAATATATTCTGGTTTATAGCCGAACAGCAGAACTGCTTTAGGTTCATACTCAACTCCAGACACTGATTGTTCTTCCCGCTCTGAGCCTGTTCAGAGGAATGGAAACATCACAGCAGACACAGATACTTTATGGACACTCGTGTAAATTCTGCATACAAACAAATGCCAACCAGTCTTCAATGTGGTGTTTAAAGCAGCTATAACAGTAGGATTATGACAGATGTGACTTACCGAGCTGACACTAAGATCAGGGGGCTGTCATGTGCAGCTTAATGAGTCAGGTGATGAACTGTGTCTGTTAAATTAAGACTTGGACTTGCCTGACCTGATCTACTGTTAAATGAACGGAGATGGACAAGCGATATTCCTTCAGGGATTCAAATAATTTCAACATAACACCTATATTTCATTACAATAGCTTTGTATGAACTGACTGTGTGTGTTTGTGGTGGTTACATCTCTATGGTATCATCATAGCAACCTCATAGGAGCTACATAAATGACTCTGTTGTAGCTATAAAGCAGGATTTTACTGTTCTGGTTGATTGAGGTGGAGCTATTTTTAGTTTTTACTGCAATTAATGATTATTTTTAGTCGCATTATTATGGATTAATCTACTGATTATTTTCTCTATTGATCGATGATTGTTTGGTTTGTAAAAATTTTTCAAATAGTGATTAATATCATCACAATTACCTAGAGCCCAAAGTGATATCACAGTACTTGTTTTGTCCAACCAACAGTACAACATTGAAAATTAAATTAAAATAATTAAGCAGAAAAATGTTCACATTTGAGAAGCTGAAACCATGAAATGTTTTACATGAAAAATGATTTAATCAATCAGCTAATTGAGTAATGGACTAATCTTTCCAGCTGTATTAATTGTTGGGTAGTTTAATTTAATACTCTTCATATGTTTTGTATAACTAGTAGCCTAACTAAAGCTGTCAGATAGTTGTAGTGGAAGGAAAAATACAATACTATTTGTAGAAAGTGGCATGAAAAAGTGAAGTAGGATGCTGAAAGTCAGTCAGAGTTGTTGGTGGTGCTAAGAGAAAGTCTGTCTACACAATGAAATCATAGTAAATGCATGCAATTCTCAGTTTTTGCATTAAAATGATAATTTAAAGCATATTTAACAACATTTTTATAACTTTTTAGCAGATAAAACAAGACAAAAACAAGACAAAATCTCCTTCCTGCCATAAATACCAGTGTTTACATGTAAATCTGTATTTGAAAAAAGGAGAAAGTGATTATAAGTTTAAACATTTTACTGATCTAATGTCATTATATCAGATTTTAGGGGGTGCTGCAGCCCCCATCCTGCACCCCCAGGGAATAAACATGTGAAAGCATCAGTAAAATTCATGCATAATGAGTCCTTTATTAGTACATTTCAGCTGATAATACTTCCCCACTAATAACCAAATGAAACTGGGCCCAGCAGTGGCTCTGAACTGGTTTCCAGTATGAAAGGGGGGGCCTCCTTTAGGTTACGTCAGAACAGGAGATGCAGGAGGGGCGGGTTTACTATCAAAAAGGGGGCTGTCTTAAACCCCAGATAACCATTCAAAACCAACAGAGGGAAAAAAAACAAAACTTCCCGTGTCCATCACTTTCACGAAGGCACCATCCACTGAACGCCAGTTGCCCACCGAGCAGCAGCCCGGAGACAGAAACCCCTCCAACATGGCCCCGATCTCCATCAAGAGTGTGTTAATCAGTGAGAGTGTGGACCCTCGCTGCAGGGCGATCCTGGAGGAAAATGGCATCCGAGTCACGGAGA